CAAGTTTAATTTCGCCCTGAATTTTGTTTGCAGGATTCGCAGAACTGTATTTCTGTATGCCGGGCCGTTCCTCGTGTTCTCATAAACATAAGCACAGTATGAATAATAATGTTTGCTATTTTGCCATTTCACCAGTAAAATCCACAGTAATGGCTCGGAAGCCTTTCAGACAGAGACTAGCAGTATTTTAAGGCCAGTAGAAACTTACAGTTAAGCTGAAAGTTCACTTAAGTACCCCTGTACACGTTTTAGGAGTCTCGAGTCGTGCCGTACGTTATTTTAGTTTCTTCAACGCTTGGTTTTCGTTAGACACCCTGTAAGCGTGTTTGAGCTGGATTCTGACCAGCTATTTTGGCGATCAGCGGATATGCAACCAAACTGGACTTCAGTACCAGACATGCTTGCGTGCAGTTGGTGCCTGTGCAGGATTTTGTTGTACGACTTTCAGTCCAGTCAGTAGTTCGAGTCTCGAGTCGTGCCGTACGTTATTTTAGTTTCTTCAACGCTATTTTGGCGATCAGCGGATATGCAACCAAACTGGACTTCAGTACCAGACATGCTTGCGTGCAGTTGGTGCCTGTGCAGGATTTTGTTGTACGACTTTCAGTCCAGTCAGTAGTTCGAGATTCTGTGAGATGACAGAAAGTTAATCAGGAGATTATCGAAACGAATGCATTTTTATTACCTATTCTCCAAGTTTAAGTGCTTCTTGTAAGTAAGGTGATTGGAGTTAGGAAAGTTTTTATTCTTTCTCAAAAAGCACCTACCTGTTTCCTACCTTGGATGACCGCCATCGATGCGTCATATGTTTTACCTTGAGGACTTATGCGTTAATGTCCTAATAACCTTTACTTTGACCCTTTGGCATTCGTTATTCCAACTTTCTGGTTTCCACGTCCTACCTGTCCTCAGGAGGGCGGAAGGAACTCGTTTTATTTGCCCTCACTATCTAATCATCACGTAATTACTGCTGCGTATTTCCTGTAGATAACTAGAAAACTGAGGACATTTCCAAAAACTTCGCCCTGGCGTTACCTTTGGCCCGAAAGTGGCACAATCGCACAAATGGCAATGGTTTCTTTTTTATTCCGACTGTCAGTACGGCCTTATCAGGATAATCGACCCATGTAGTGTGTAAGTGTTTGCCTAGCCAATACCTGACGAAGTCGCCGCCTACTGTGCCCAGGCTTTTTAGTGTGCTGTTAGCAAAAACTACTCGACTTTAGGTAATTATCCTTATATTTTCGAGGAAAGTTGAAGAAACTAACCGCATGTGTGGCAGAAGAAGCCTCGTTTTTTTTTAGCGTGCCCTATAGAACTGAAAACCCGACAGTTTCCCTGATTATCTCTTTATTCCTCCAGCGCCTAAAAATGCATGCACAATGTTCAGCGTTGATTATTTATTTAAGATACGCGCCCTTCCTTTTTGACGCATTTTTCTTGCCTCAACACTTGTAGCACGAAAGCTACATGGGGTAATCATTGTGCCCCTCTGCATGAGTAGCTCTATATTTAACAAAATCCTCTTTATAATTTGGTCGTCATTCTCTGCACATTTCCGATTTCCTATCTTACATTAACAGTGTGCTAAAACTCGGACCACAAACTCCGTTGCAGTCACATAAGATCGCTTGGATATAATACGAACGCCGAAGCAAAGAACCCATAAGAGTGAGACAGAGAGGAGACCAGTTGGCCAGAGAGAGGGAGTTTACTGAGACAAGCACGTTACAGCAA